AATCTGTATTGATTTTTTTTATCAATATATATTTTAATTTTGAAAAGTTTACTGTGTTTGTATTCACATCCCCCCTTCTACAAACTGTTATACACATCTTGTAGACCCTAACGGGACCAACAGTATTAACTGTGAACTTTTGGAACGAAAGGCAACCAAAAAATTCTTGATGGGTGAAGCTTACATTGTTCGGTATTCGAGCAGTTGCATCTTTTAGGTCTTCATAAAACATAACTATTTTTTGTAAGGGTTTCTTAAATAGCATATATGGTTAATGTCTTGTAAAGAAATAAGAAAATTGAAAATGGTTTCCTGTCTAGGTTTAATAGGTTGTAACCATTTTTTGGACTGGACAAAGCAAGAACATAATTTCTAATTTGTTTTGCCTATCATTTTTAGTTCCAAATCTCTATGGTTTTGTTTGTAAGTTTGTTGATTTGAATCAATCCATGCACACCAAGTGGTTAATTTGTTGCCATGAGGAATTAAATGATCTCTCATGCCTTAGTGATTGTGGTAAAGCTTCAGTTAGACCACCCAGAACAAGGGGTTATGCAGTTTTAGATGCCCACCAATGCAAGAAAGGTAACTTATTTTCCTGTGGACTTAAAGCTTGAGACTAGCAAGGTTTGTATGATGCTGCCTATGAGAAGGTCAACTAAGAAATTTTCTTTTGAATAAGTTTGTAACCACGAACATTTCAATAACCCTTTTTTTGTGAAATTTCATAGCATTGTTAATTATCAACTCATTTGACCGTAAAAAATCAATGAACATGTCTGATACAGTAAATGACGACATGAAGCTTGTAGTTTATTTTGCTTGGCTCTATTTCATCCTCCGGAAAGGATTATGGGGAAAATCTTCTTTAACTTATTATTCATGACCTAACAATGCTTTGGTGTCAAGAATCAACATTCATGTGGCATCAATACAAATATATCTTTAACTTATATATGTTGGTGTTCTTCTATAATGCGTTTCTTAATGAAATTTTGGATTATTTGTATTGTGTAGGTTATTTTAGTGGTACTTGTCTTTGAAAATAATTTTACATATGATATATCTTCATGAAATGGTTATGGAAACAATTAGCTTTGAACATCTTATTCATGAATCAGACATCCTTAAAACATTTATAGAGACAGGGAAATCAATAAGGTAAGGTACATCGTGGTCGCTTAAGTAAGTTTCCTTAGTTTTAGTTTATACTCATGGCTGCTTGATTAACTTTCCTTAGTTATAATTTATACTTCTTGTAGCCTGTTTCATAAGCTCTACCCATGATATTTATGGTTTTTGCTACTATGTTGTATTGTTTTCAGGCTCAAATCTACATGTACCCACGGTGTTCTTTATCAAAAAATAATTTTGATTTTGTCATACTGCTAGAATAGCTAAAAGTATGCAAAACAATTCACTTTCTTGTTTAATCCCTACAAATTCTTCTTATACTCCACCCTCTTGAACACAATTTTTTCTCTTTTTTCACCAAATTAAACCCCTTTTTTGATGCCTCTAACTCTTTCTTTATGCAATCTTGATACACACACACACACACACACATATATATATATATATATATATATATCAGTATTAAAGTATTATTGTAATTATATATATATATATATATATATATCAGTATTAAAGTATTATTGTAATTATTTTAAAAAATTTAAAATAAAAATAAAAACCATTAATATAAGTAATAACTAAATTAAATAAATAAAAGAAAATTAGTAAAAAAAAAAACAAAAACACAAAAACACAAAAAAAAATACAAAAAAAATGATTATATATAGAATAGGGGTTTCATTAATAAGGAGTAGGAATGCTGTTAGTTTCCTTCCTTGTCAAAAGCGACCATCGTCTCTTTGTTTTTTCCCCTAATCACCAAAAACATAAACAAGATTCCGAACAATTTTCTAAAAAGTTAATATAATCACTTTAATAATTCCAATCATGTTTTCTATCTTTTATTATTAACGTATTAAACGAACAATATAGTGAGATAGATCTCAACTTTAATGTTTTATTTTAGGACAAAATGCACAAAATAGCAATCTACTTTCATAATTTTTTTTATTATAACATTGTACTTTCAGTTTTTCTTATTATAACAATATACTTTCAAACTATTTTTTATTAGAACATTGTACTTTGAAAAATTTACCCATTATAGCATTGGGTAACCTTTTGATTTAAATTTACACATTATACTAGGTTTCCATGCCATCTCATTGTCCACGTAGGCTGTCCGCATGTACTATAGTGATGTGACTTTCTTACTACATTATTGTACTTTCAATATTATTTTATTATAGCATCTACTAGTTCTTATTAAACACTGTATTTTTAATTAAAATAGTTTAATCCAAAAGTTAATTTTTATGATTAATTAGTTATTTTAATTGATGAGATATTTATAAAAACCATTTGTATTAAATTTAAATAAGAAAAAAGTTTAGAAAATTAAAGAAATTGTTCCATTTTGAATTATCACGTTTTTAAACTTTTTTTATTATATAAGTTGTTGAACTCTTTTTATGTTGAATAATTAAGTCATTGCATTTTTTTGAATAATTAAATGATTGAGCTTTTTAGAAAATTGTTTACTTCAATTATTTTAATTTTTTTAAAATTGTATAATTTAAAAGTTATTTTTTATAAAATGACTTGATAAACGTAATCACTTTTTTACATAAAGTAGTATTTCAAATTTATTGGGTTATTTTAATATTTTAAAAAATGTACTTAAAAGATTGTGAAGAAAATAAAACAAAAGAGTTAATATCGTGCAACTCACTGTGTCATAGTTATTTATAAAAAAAAATCATCCTTACATATATATTTTTAATAAATAAATCATCGAACTTTTAAAAATTGGTTACTTTGATCATTTCAACCGAAAAATAATGCATGTTATGGCTTGCTTGTTTTACAGATCAAATAAGTGGAAAAACGATTTTTAAGTCACGGTTTCCCAATCTTTAATCTATTCAAATAGCTGTTAAATAAATTTTTTTATAATATGTAAAGATCTGATAATATTATTATTATATTAAATTTATATGTAGTTTGGTAATATAAAAGAGGTTGTTTTTTTAATAAATCACTATTAAAAGATTAGGTT